TTAATGCATACAATTTCCATGAGAACTGTGACCGTTCCCACGACTAAGCTGAGCGATATTTAATCGCTACTTTAATGCAGCTTAAGGTATAGGGCATTATCGTGGGAATTGTATGTATCAACACCTTGCCAAATTTGTATAAAAGCACAACATTTTCTAATAAACATTCATTCAATACCAAACATTCCTTGAGTTTTAATTAGTTCTAGTGCTCATTAAAACTTAAACGCAAATAGGTTCAAGTGTCTAGTTGCTTAAAAATATTATTTGAATTCACCTGAAGTTGCTTCAAGTGCCAAATTCAACTTGTCAAACGATATAAAGAGTTTAAAAAATTTATACAACGAGCAACGATGAGAACTCTGTCAGCATTATGTATTTCACTAACACAGTACAACATCATGGTGCACTCAATCTTGTTAAAGACATTGCCAGTGAGTATGAGAATAAATTTCTATAAAACTCAAAAGGGGAGTTCACATTCAACTAATGCAAGTCGCACCAGACTGAACGAAAGTGAGCGAGCACTAGAGCAAAATAGTGACAATTTAGAAGCTCTCTTGGCATACATAAAAGTTGATATTGAAGCATTAGAAACAGCTCAAATAGTTGAGAGAGATAATATGAAATTCGAAGAGATAAAAATGTCGGAACGTAAACCAAAAGGTACAGCTGTTGGTTTGCATGCTAGTTATGAAGCAAATCAAAGTAAATGTGTGTTTTGCAAAAATAGCGCTTGTTGCGGTTACATGCACGATAGGGTGTGAGAAAAACGGTTTGGCCGTTATTAAATAAATATGTAAGAATAGCCTTTGCACTAAGTCTCATGTTACGATGCGGTAGCATAGGACTATGCAGAAGGCAATGATCCCACAACGCGAGTGTGGAATATGCTGACACTACAAAACGTGATAAGCAAACACGCTACTCTTGAAACTAGCGCAAAAGTACAGAAACTTTTGTCTGGCAGTTGCTGTTTTACCATCGAACGAAGAACGGTTTCGTGAAAATCGAGTGGAAGCAATAGCGCGAGCTTAGCGATTTAAATTCGAAATAAATATCACTAAATTAATACAAAACTAGTGACTTTGTTATAAGTAAACTCTGTAGTGGAATTTTTTACCGATTGAATTTTAAAAAAAACACCTCCAACTGGAGAGGAGTTATCCCATAAGCAAAAGGCTATTGCACTGTCCCTGCAGTATTTTGTATTTTTTTTTTTTTTTCATCTGTTTAGGTTGAAAGTATGTGTTTATTCATATATGAACAGACGCTTATAGACATTACGTTGGATCGAAATGAAGATTTTTGTTTTGACTTTTATATTTTGTGTTTTTTATGATACATTTAATCATATTTTTTTTGTAAATTGTAAATTATTTACTTAAATTTAGCACAATTAATGGGATGTATTCAACCATTTCAACTGAGAGATTTCAAACCGCGTTTGGTTTTGATGTGGAGATTCCAGTAACGCTGAGAAAAAGACCGTCACCTATCTACAACTTCGATGATTATTCTCAAATATTGAAATATCAAATTCAACGTTCTCATGAGTTAGTGAGGGAAAATCAGAAAAAGGCGAAATTGGCTTCTAAAAAATATTATGACAGAAATAAAAAGAAAAAGAAATTAAGAATAGGAGAGAAAGTGCTCCTGAAGAACCAATCGAGGAAGAATAAATTTGCACCCATATGGGAGGGCCCATATGTGGTAAAAGAGGTTCCCAACACGGTTAATGTAAGAATTTCCATAAAAGGGAAGACGAAAACTTTCCACAACAACTTGGTAAAGCCATTTTTTGAAAAAATATAATTGAATAAATGAGTCTTTATATATAATTGAATAAAGTATAATTGAAAAATTGTAAGATGTCTGCTAAAATTTTTTTTTCCCTTTCCATTGGATTTAGGAAGATCTCACTTTTACAGTTAACTACTGATCATAGGCAGTACTATGATCAAGTCCAAATTTTGTTCTGTAATCTGTATTCTGAATATCATTTCCGCGTATGGAATTTTCGGTTATTGTATGTTGCTGGCATATGCTTGATTTACCTAGTAAGGATTATTATTTGGTCATCCAGTTTATCTCGTGTTACCACGCCATAACATGGTTTTATGGTTTTCTTATCAACGTTGTGTTCAATCAGCCAATGGCATTGTTGGTTGCATAGGCGTATATATTTTTTTTTATATTAACTAAAGACGGAAACACCGAAAAATTTTTTATTCTCTTAACAAATTCTGTAACTTTACAGCATCATCTAGATATACATTGTAACTATCATATCTGGGGTATTTTGTTTAAGTACCAGAGGAAGGGTAGTCGGAAGGGTCACGGCCTTCATTTGTATGACAACCTTCGTGCTATCGACATTAGTCCAACATATTTTTTTGGACAATGTCTTCATAACAAATTGTGAAGCCGTGACGCTGTCAGTGCCACGTCTTTTCAAACGTCATTAACGATTCGACGGAAAAGTCCGTTTAATTTCGTGGGCAATTAATAAGTAATAATTAATCCTCGTTCAATAACCATCACGAATACTGTGATGAATACCTCGAGCATACATCTGATTGGATCGGAATTCACGAGACCAATATCAAATTCCATTGCCATTTTTGACTACTACTTCATAGTTAATTGCCTCTTCTTCATATAAAAAAAAACCACTTAGATAGGGTTTATTATAATACTTAGTTAATGGAAGTTATTGCTACCCACATTTGTGAGGTACAAACAATACTTAGAAACGCGAAGAAAACAAGCATTATACTGACCAAACAATTAGAGAAAAAGTAAACAGGCTAGACTATTTAAGTAATATAGTCAGTACTCTGTATTTAGGATCTAATCTGAAAGCAATAAATTTAAGGGAAGTATTCTTTGAAATATACAACCAAACGAAAGAACATCTCATTCAGATGTCACAAACAAAGTCAACCACTGACGTTTCAAATCCAACTATTTCTACTATACCCGAAAGAGTAACAAATACAACGATGGCGACTTTCGATTCCATTATAGAGACTATTGAGAAACTATTATCCACTTTCACAGGGAAGCATGAGAAATTAAGCTCATTCCTTCGAAGACTAGAGTTCTATGGTAACAAAGTAGGCGAGGAGGACAAAAAGCAATTCTCGGAGCATATTGTTGACTGCAAATTGCATTACAATGTTAGGACTAGAGTTTCACCTATCGGTTTTCCAGACTCTTTGGAAAATCTGATTCAGAAGCTGAAAACAACCTATGTACCAAAAGATACAGTGCCCCTTTTGATACAAAAATTAAACGAGATGAAGCAAGGTCATAACCAATCTATTACTGATTACAGTAATAAAATGGCCAAACTGCTTTTAGAACTATAATACGTCATCTCCACAAGCTGAAGGGATTTTACTTACCAATGAAGACAACGTATTATTAGCATACAAAAAGGGACTAAACGCAAACTACTCATTATCCGTATAGTCATCAAACCCGAAGACATTCCAAGAAGCGAAAGAAATCGCTGAAGGCATAGTCTTTCCAGACCAACATCAGAGTATACTCCATTACCATGGTAATAGATCGCAATACAATAATCGGAATAATAATAATAGAATAGAAACTTTGTTGGTGCAAGATATAATGGTGGAATGGACTAGTAAGTCGACCAAGATTGAGACATCAATTAGGTCAACTTATCAACCATCGGCTACTTTGCCAACAATATCTCTTCCAAAGTTCAGTGGAGATTATTTGAGTTGGCGACAATTCAGTGATCTGTTTGCACAACTGATACACAATCAAAGAATATCAGACTCACAGAAACTCTGGTATTTGAAAACCAATATTCAAGGCGAAGCTGAAGCACTCATCAAGCATTTGCAAATATCAGATGCAAATTATGAGACGGCATGGCAATTACTACAAAGTAGATATGAGAATAAAAGAGTTCTAGTATCAGCAGTTTTGCAACGTTTGACAGCTCAAAACTCTTTATATGACCATCCAACAGTCCAAGCCATTAAAAATATGCATGACACAACAAAGGAAAGTCTATGTGAATTTCATAATTTAAATATTGAAACATCAACTTGGGATCCAATTTTAGTTCACATACTATTAAAAAAGTTGGATAAAAATACACATTGCAGTTTTGAACAAACTCTTACTAACCCAAGGGAGATGCCCACAATAAAACAATTCTTAGAATTTTTAGAATTGAAATTTCAGTCACTTGAGGCTATAGGTCTACGAGACAATGCAGTATATACACCCAACAAAAGGATAGCCGTAACTATGGTTTGTTCAGATCTATGTAAAGTTTGTAATACAGATAAACATCCGATCTAATATTGCAAAAAATTCATTGAAATGACTCCTCCTGAACGATTAAATTGGATTCAACGACAAAAACTATGTGTGAATTGTTTCAAATCCGATCATAAAGCAAAGGTTTGTGAAGCTGGATCATGTAAAAAATGTGCCAAGAAGCATAACACTTTGCTTCATTTAGAGCAACAGTCACCTAAACCTTCAAGGGCACCAGCAACAAACACAAAGTCAACCACAACATTGATCAACGCAAATGAATCGCCATCCATAACAGCAACAACTAATGCAAAGGGTACTCGTAATTACGTTCTGCTAGCCACTGCAAAGGTGCGCATTATTGCAAACAATGGACGAACGTGTGATGTTCGTGCCATACTCGACTCAGGTTCTCAAGTGAACCTAGTAACCCAAAGAGTAATCAACAAGTTATCTTTAATTACCACAAATTCAAATCTATCGATCGAAGGTATGGCCGTCAATTCGGGAACTCCAAATCTCGCGTAAATGTTGAACTGCAGGCTACTAATGGAAGCTTCAGGACGAGACTAGAGGCATTTGTATTGCCACAAATAATATCAGCACAACCGTCACGAGACCTAGATATCTCGGATTGGCAGATCCCACAGAATGTAGAATTAGCAGACCCCAGCTTTAACAGATCTGGAAGAATTGACATGCTGATTGGTGCTGAATTCTATCATACTCTACTTCAACCAGAACAATTGATAATAGGAAAGAATTCGCCACTGTTACAAAATTCGGTTCTAGGTTGGTTGGTGGTTGGTAAGACTAAAACTACAACAGATATTAAACCAACATGCGCTATTACTACAGGAGAAGTTGGTGAAATGTCAGGAATGATAGAACGATTTTGGAAGTTAGATAACCTTGAGACTGCAGAAAGGGTTTTGACTTTATCTGAGAAATGGTGTGAAAATCACTTTACAAATCATGTAAAGACAAATCACGATGGTCGTTTCATTGTACGCTTACCTTTCCGCGATGATCCCACAACATTTGGTAGATCGCGTGAGATAGCATTCAATCAATTTTGTTCTCTGGAAAGGAAGTTACAAAGGGACCCAAATTTATACAAGGAGTACATAAAGTTCATGGATGACTACGAGTCATTAGGTCACATGGAAAAAGTTTGCCCGGAAGATGTCAAAGGAGCACAATATTTCATTCCTCATCATTGTGTCTTGAAACCTGACAGCACTACAACCAAATTGAGAGTTGTCTTTGATGCATCAGCAAAAACATCAAGCGGTTTAGCACTAAACGATATTTTGCACAAAGGTCCAACAGTGCAAAGTGATCTTTTTTCAATACTGTTGCGTTTTAGAATATACCGGTTTGTATTTACGGCTGATATTGAGAAAATGTACCGGCAAATTCAAGTACATGATGAAGATACAGCACAGAAGCTGATAATCTGGAGAAAAAGTGCTGATGATAGTATACAATATTACCGACTGAAAACGGTTACATATGGAACGAAGTCAGCCCCTTATCTTGCAACAAAATGTCTTCAACACCTTGCGAAACATAATATGACCAACTATCGGCTTGGAGCACCTGCATTACTTAATGATTTTTATGTAGATGACTGTTTAAGCGGAACTAACAGCATCATTACCGCCTTAGACACTCAACAACAACTTACGGAACTGCTCAGTAAATCAGGATTTAAGCTGAGAAAATGGTGCTCAAATAATACACGACTCCTACAAAACATTCCGATAGAAGACCAAGAAATCAACCTTGATTTAGATGACTCAGCCATAAAGCCAACAAAAACATTAGGCATTATTTGGCTCCCGAAATCAGACGAATTTTGCGGTAAGGCAGAGATGTCATCAGAGCAACCTATCACGAAGCGGATTATGGCATCGGACTTAGCTCGAATTTTTGATCCTTTGGGAATTTTTGGCCCCATTACTGTAACAGCTAAAATATTCATGCAGGAATTGTGGCAACAAAACTATTCCTGGGATGCGGAACTGTTACCTCAGGCTCAGCTAGAATGGAAGCGTTTTAGAAATGACTTACAAACATTAAATACTGTGAAAGTACCCAGACATATTTTTAATTCGACGGTTCCCTGTTCGATTCAATTACACGTGTTTACGGATGCATCAGAGAAGGCATATGGAGCAGCTATGTACGTGCGAGCAATATATAATGATAAGACAATAACATCGAGACTATTGTGCGCCAAATCTAGAATAGCACCATTAAAGAAACAGACACTTCCACGACTAGAACTCTGCGCAGCATTGCTGGGAGTCGAATTAGCAGAAAGAGTTAAACAAGATTTAAAGTATCAAAACGTGCCAACCTACTTTTGGTCCGATTCCGAAATTGTTTTGTCATGGATAATATCTTCATCTGCCTCATTGCACACATTCGTGGCAAATCGTATTAGCAAAATTCAAGAGATGTCACATGCTGATCAATGGCATCATGTGGCGTCAAAGGATAATCCTGCTGACATCATTTCCAGAGGAATAAAAGTTAAAATGTTCAATTATTCACATATATGGTTTTTTGGTCCACTCTTTCTTCATGGAAGCAACGAATTTTGGCAACAGCCAAACCCAAAGGCATTTAACATCTCAACTGATATCGAAAGACGACAAGGACATACAGTTAACATTATCATTCAAACGACTAGTTCTGATCACATGATAAATCAAATTGATCATCGAAACTCATTCAGATACCTCCAAAGAACAATTGCTTATGTTCGCCGTGTATTTCATCGCACACAATCACCAACAAGAACACTTTCTCCAAAAGAATCACGAGATGCATTATTCTTCATAATTAAAACTATTCAGGGCTCAGAATTTGCAAAAGAAATCTCTGATTTAAAACAATGTAAAGCAGTCAACAGTTCGAGTCAACTAAATACTTTAGCACCGTTCATTGACGAACAAGGTGTACTTCGTGTTGGAGGAAGGCTTGAAGCATCAACATTGCCATATGATGCTAAACACCCAATGGTAATTCCTTACAATCACTCAATAGTAAAATTGATGTTCAAAATGAAACATGAAGAAAATTCCCATTGTGCTCCACAATTATTGCTAAGCATAATGAGACAAAACTTCTGGCCGATTAAAGGAAAGATTATGGCGCGAAACATTGTTCACAGCTGTGTCATCTGTTCAAAGGCAAAACCAAAACTGATGGACCAACTCATGGGCAACTTACCGACTGATCGAGTTACTCTGACTAAACCATTTTTTACCACAGGAGTTGATTACTGTGGTCCGATATGGATTCATTATAAAATTAGAGGAAAAAGGCCAACAAAGGCATATTTAGCAGTATTTTGCTGTTTCGCAACTAAGGCTGTTCACCTAGAAGTGGTGAGTGACCTGACAACAGAGGCATTCATAGCCGCTATTCAACATTTTATCAGCAGAAGAGGAAGATGCCAAACAATTTATAGTGACAATGCGACTAACTTTGTTGGGGCGAGAAACCAACTACAAGAGCTCCAGTCTACCATTTATTCAGAAAATGGTAAAGAAAAGATCATTAAGACCAGTAGTAACAAGGGAATTGACTTCAAATTCATTCCACCAAGAGCTCCTCATTTTGGAGGACTCTGGGAAGCTGCCGTCAAGTCAGCTAAACATTTAATGATTAAAGGAATTTTCAGCGCTTCATTGACTTATGAAGAATTGACAACAGTCATAACTGAAATAGAAGCCATGTTAAATTCAAGGCCAATAACAAAAATGTCATCCGATCCAAATGATCTAACAGCGCTTACACCAGGACACTTTCTCATAGGCGAACCACCTACCACTAATGTAGATCCTTATCAAAAGGAGAGCCGAATGAGTTTATCATCACGATGGCGTTTAGTTTCTGAACTCAAACAAGAATTCTGGAGAAGATGGTCAAAGGAATATCTCAATGAACTCCAATCAAGGTACAAATGGAAACAACAAAAGGCAAATCTATGCCAAGGTGATTTAGTCATTATTAAAGATGATAATCTACCCATGTACAAATGGCCTCTTGGCAGGGTGCAACAGGTGTATGAAGGAGAAGATGGCTTGGTCCGTGTAGCTGACATAAAAACAGCCAATGGGATTTTTAAACGACCCTTACGATCATTGGCCCCCCTACCCACTGAAGGCAGCATTAATCAAAATCCAACAAAACAAAATTCTACTGTCACACAAACAAGACAAACGAATGAACCTAGTGAAGCGTTGCCAAAGCGTCGAAAGATATATGATGGCACATCTTTAATGATGACCATACTTGTGACAATATTGATGATGCCATTAATACTTTCGAAACCCATTGAAGAAATATCATTTCCAAACAAACCCGGAATATATTTTGAAGGAATTGGCACCGTAAATCAAATCATTGGAAGATGGAAAATTATCACTTACTTTGAGTTCGCGCCTATTCGAAAGGAGATCGAAAGGTTTCAAAATGGCACAGCAGCACTTTAGCAATTGTGCCCATTGTTACAGCAACAAGAAAGCTGTTATGAGCTCGTCCGTCAATTCAATAATACTAACATAGAATTACGAACTGAAACGAAGGTTATGACGAGACACCGAACAGCCAGAGAAGCCATCAATATAGTTGGAAATATTGCTAACAAATTATTTGATGTTTTAGATTCAGAATATGCTGAAACGATTTCTAAAACTCTAACTCAAATCAGCAATAATGAAGATGTACTATCAAAAATGATCAAAAATCAGATTACAGTCATGGACTCAACGCTAAATATATTCAGCAAAACTACAGAAGCCGTTGCAGTTAAAATGAATCAACTACAAGATGAGACAAACAAAATAGTAGATTACACTAATCATAATACTAAACGTATTAACCACCTAGAGATCTATACATCACTGGTAACCCAACTTACATGGATGGCACACACATTAATAAAAATTGAAGCTGCGATATTTGATGTCTTAACTGATACTCAACATGGCAGAATTAATTCTCTTTTGATGTCTCTACAACAACTTCAAGACCAAATCATGAAGATCAAGGGCCATTTACCTCATTCACTTTGTTGTGGTTACGTGCACGATAGGGTGTGAGAAAAACGGTTTGGCCGTTATTAAATAAATATGCAAATATAGCCTTGGCACTAAGTCTCATGTTACGATGCGATAGCATAAGACTATGCAGAAGGCAACGATCCCGCAACGCGAGCGTGGAATGTGCTGACACTACAAAACGTGACCAGCAAACACGCTACTTTTGGAGCTAACGCAAAAGTACAGAAACTTTTGACTAGCAGTCGCTCGTTTAACTTAGTTGAGACATGTCGGGATCACCGCGCTCTTAAGATCGACTTGGAGAAAAACTAATAAAGTGCCAGTGCAGTAAAAAATCAAAGTAAAGAACGGTGAAATAAAATGCAAGCATCGAAATAAACAAACTCACTAAAATAATTGTTAATAATAAAAGCTAATAGAAATTGCAAATGACATAAGTTTCTGAGCCAATTACGGTGAAATAAATGCAAGCATCGAAATAAACAAACTCACTAAAATAATTGTTAATAATAAAAGCTAATAGAAATTGCAAATGACATAAGTTTCTGAGCCAATTACGGTGAAATAAATGCAAGCATCGAAATAAACAAACTCACTAAAATAATTGTTAATAATAAAAGCTAATAGAAATTGCAAGTGACATAAGTGTCTGAGCCAACTACGGTGAAATAAATGCAAGCACCGAAATAAACAAACTCACTAAAATAATTGTTAATAATAAAAGCTAATAGTCTTCCATTTAATCAAGAGGACGTTATTCATTTATACACGTTGATGTCTTCACAAAGTGGAATCACACAAGATCATTTGATAGTTGTCTTACAACTGCCATTAATCTATCATGAGGATTTCGATTTATTCAATCTCGTCCCAATTCCTGCAACAGTCAACAATACAATGATGACAATAGTTCCAGAAGCTTCATTTTTAGCTGCCACGCCGCATAGAGACCAATATTTTGCCTTAACTCGTGAACAGTATAAGGAGTGTATGACTTTCAAGCAACCAGAAAACAAACTACTCTGTTTGGATAAACAATCAAAATATAACATCGGCTCACAGGCTTACGCTTGCGAATTTAACCTATTAAAAAACATATCTGACAATACGTGTAATGTGCAGGAAACAAAATCGAACATTATTTGGAGTCCCCTGTATCATGCGAACCAATGGATATTCGGGTCAAAAAACAATACAACAGTTACGGCCGTCTGTAAGGGCATCACGACTCATTTAGAACTACAAGGTGCAACACTTCTGAAATTACAAGACGACTGTGTACTCAAACACCAAACGTATACAATTCAGACACATCAAACGCTTACCGACACCATGTATGAATCTTACATTGCATTTGGTGAGATACCTGTCATTAATAACTCATAATTATGGTCAAATTTTAAAGGAAGTTCACTGAATCTGAGCAATGAACTTAAACAGTTAAAGCTACTTCACAATACTCTGAAAGATGAAAAATTCGCTGAATTACCACACAAACTACAGACGGACAGCATGCATCACTACGCAATTAATTCCACAACCCTAATTCTTGTCGTTGGAGCCATCATATGGATGATATGGAAAATAAAGCAGGTAAAGCGTCCAGAAGTCAATCAGCCAACACAAACTCTCACACCAAACGCGATGCCACGAACGAGATTTACGTTGGAGCCTGAAACAATTACATAGCTTCTCAAATTCTCATGATGCTATAAACCCTAAATTTTATATTTTTAAGTTTATATAATATTGTATAAGTATTTATTGTTTAAAAATTATATGTGTATTTATATATCCACAAAATGTTGTAATTTTGTCTGTTGATTTTAAAAAAAAACACATAACGCATTGCAAATCAAATCAATCATTGCTCATAGATTCATTCTTAAATAACGTAATTCAAGCCGGGCAGAATGTTAACTTTAACAAACCTAACATATTTTAGCTCGCTTGTAGTTACACTTATGCAGCAAATAAATATTGTAAATATTAAATACATTGTTTACGTTTATAAGTTCAATAGCTTCACACATTGTATTTTGCTTATGCAGCAATATGTGAAATTTAAATTATTATTTTAGTTATCAATAATTGTAAATATTATTATGCTTAGTAAGTAATTTTATACTATATAAGGTAACAATATTGATAATAAAGTTTGAGAGCGAAAACAATCGTCTTTCCTTCAAAAACAAAATTTGGTTATTGGTAGATGTGCCTTTTAACCACTGTAGCAATAAATAAAAATTATTTACTTACTTGGCTAGCGGTTTATGTGCCTGCAAGCCTTTCGTCATAAATACCTGATTATTGGTTTATGTGCCTAATAGTCAGTGTAACGAAGTAAGAAAATACATTATTTGATACCACCTCAGATTACGTGGTATTACAATGAGGTAGAAATAAAAAATGGAAAGACAGATCTGACTGATTTAAAAACAACAAATCTACTTTTACTAATCATTGTTTTTGTAGTGGTAGGAAACGTTGTATTTAAATTAATAAGGATGTACAAAGCTTCCATTAAAAGAAAATATTTGAAACGCGCAGTTTCCACAGATAATATTTAAAATTCTAATTTACAAATTATGAAATGGAAAAATGTATTAGAAACAATTTTAGAGGCCAAAAACAGTTTTTCAAAGTCCTATAAATGCCTGAACAATAACCGCAATTACAAATCTGAAACCGTTATTAAGCACTTGTTAGTATTACAAAATAGTATAGAAAAAATAAGAGTAATTGCAAACACTTATAAGGACAAATTAACTCCAAAGAATTTCCAAATAGTTGTTGAAAATTTTCGTTTCTATAGGGACAATTTTATAAAAATTTTAATTAAGTTTCAAATTGAACAAGAAATACCTACCACATTTAAGGAACCCTTTGAATTAAATTTTGAGACAATAATTTTAGACAATATAGTCACAAATTCGGGTTCTGAAGAGTCAGAAACTGAAAAACTAACAGCAGGTAAAATGCCCCAGACAGTGACAGAATTTTTAAATAGCGCGTCAAAACTCCTACCAGAGTTTGATGGCAAGTCTGAGAACTTACAAAGTTTCTTAGATGCGTTGATGTTAGTCGATTTAATAAAAGATAACAATGAAGCAGTTGCTGTGACTTTGGTTAAAACCAAACTTAAGGGAACTGCTTGAATTTAATTTCAACTTAAAATACCTTGTCCGAAATAGTAAATAAATTAAAAGCTTCAGTAAAAGGTGAGTCAGTAGAAGTATTGACTGCTAAACTAATGAACATCAAACAAGGCAGTAAAATTGCAACCGCTTATACAAAGAAAATTGAAGACATTACCAAAGCATTGGAAAATGCTTACATTGGGGATGGATTAAATGATGCAATTGCAACAAAATACTCAACTCAAGCGGCAGTGAAAGCAATGATAAAAAATTGCAACAACGATCGTGTTAAAGTTGTAATGGAAGCAGGCTCATTCACAAATATGAATGATGCAATTTCAAAGTTTGTAAACAGTTGCAATGAATCAAATAGTCATCAAAACACAATTTTCTTCTACAATAAAAGAAACAACAACTATAAAAGAGGAAGGCAATTTCATAATAACCGTGGTCAACATCGTAAACGAGGTCATATAAATTATGGAGGAAATAATTACAATTCCAATGAATCCTGGGATAACTCAAATAGATCATTTAAGAGAGGACGTGGAAATGGCCACGTCAAACTAAGCCGTTACCGTTGAGTACGTTTGATGACAAATGAAACGGAAAACATAGACCTGCCCCTAAGACATTGAAACAAAAAACATCTAATTTTAACATTTTTAATATAAACTTAAATCTGAGAATTAATAATACCAGCTCGATCAGAGGTCATTAGAAAAATTACTATTACGTCAGATGAAAATGATATTCTAATTCCAAATCAAGAATTAGAATCTGGAATTTTAATAGGCAATAAAATAGTTAATTCAAAACACCCATTTGTTCGTATATTGAATGCAAATACGAATGACGTTATTATAAATAACCCAAAAATTAAATTCGAAAACCTTTCCGATTATGCTATAATTAAGCCACAAGCCAAACTTGCTAGAAAATCAGTTGTGTTGAAAAGACTTTTGAAAAACTTTCCGGTTGAGCATAAAAACAAGTTATTAACATTATGCTCAAAATTCAGTGATATTTTTGGTCTTGAATTGGAAATAATATCCACAAATAATTTTTACACACAAAAATTGAAACTTATGGACTCAGAACCAGTTTATATAAAAAATTATAGAATCCCTCACAAACAAAAAGAAGAAATCGAAAAACAAGTCAAAAAGTTAGTTGAAGATAATATAGAAGAGCCGTCCATATCGGCATACAATAGCCCACTTCTCTTAGTACCCAAAAAATCATTACCGAATTCAAACGAAAAGCGTTGGCGTTTAGTGGTGGACTATCGCCAAATAAATAAGAAACTTATTGCAGACAAATTTCCATTGCCAAGAATAGATGATATTCTTGACCAACTTGGAAGAGCCAAATATTTTTCATGTCTTGATCTTATGTCCGGCTTTCATCAAATTGATCTTGATGAAAATTCAAGGGATATAACATCATTCTCTACAAATCACGACTCTTATCGATTCAAGCGATTACCTTATGGATTAAAGATCGCCCCGAACTCCTTTCAGCGAATGATGACATTTGCATTTGCTGGTCTTGCTCCAGCACAAGCCTTTCTTTATATGGACGACCTAGTAGTTTTAGGTTGTTCAGAGAAGCACATGATAAAAAATCTAACTGATGTATTTCTTCTGTGCAGGAAGCACAACCTCAAATTACATCCCGACAAATGTGCATTTTTTATGCCTGAAGTTACTTATCTTGGGCATAAAAGTTAGCACAACAGTAACCAACGTAATAATATGTAATCAGCATTATTTAATTGAACAAATTTAATCAGCAATACTAAAATCAATAAATGTAATCATCAATATTAAAATTAATATGTAATCAGCATTATTTAAATGAATGAAATTAATCAGCAATATTAAAATCAATAAATGTAATTAGCAATATTAAAATTAATATGTAATCAGCAATATTTTATTGCGATCGATAATTTTGCTTATTATTTATTATTTAATTAATTACTAATTAATTGTCAATTAGGCGTACTTTAAGTAAAAATTTAAGTTACCTTTTAAGTGAAAATTAAATAAAGAATCAGTTTGAAAACAGCAATCAATTTGTTATTTTTTTTGAATTATAACCGCAAGAGTTCATAACTTAAATGTACTGATAAAGGCAAGGTAAATTTCAAACAATTCAAAACTATCCAAAACCCACCAATGCCGATGAAGCAAAAAGATTTATAGCGTTTTGCAACTATTTTAGAAAATTTATCAAAAATTTCGCGGAATATTCTCGTCATATCACAAATCTTTGCAAAAAAAATGTATCCTTTAAATGGACTTCGGAATGTGATAAGGCATTTGAATATCTAAAAAAAAATTTAATTTCGCCAATTATTCGGCAATACCCTGATTTCACCAAACAATTCTGTGTGACAACGGACGCAAGCAAGTCTGCATGTGGGGCAGTACTTAGTCAAGAACACAATGGTGAACATCTTCCTATCGCTCACGCTTCAAAATCTTTTACCAAAGGTGAAAGTAACAAATCAACAATCGAAAAAGAATTAACAGCGATACATTGGGCGATTCTTTATTTCCGACCATACCTTTACGGTACACATTTTTTCATCAAAACAGATCATAGACCACTAACATATCTTTTTTCTATGAAAAATCCTTCATCTAAACTAACTAGAATCAGACATGATCTTTAAGAGTATGATTTCACCATTGAATATCTTAGGGGCAAAGAAAACTATGTCGCAGACGCTTTGTCGCGAATAACAATTAATGATCTTAAGGATTTAAATAAATCAAGTTCTAATGTTTTAAAAATGACAACCAGATCGGCTAACAAACAAAACAATAATGTTGTAAAAGAATTAAAATTAGAGCCGAAACGTACCATTTCAGATTGGCCCAAAATATATGACATCATTGATGTCAGTAACATTAAAAAGAATATTAAAAAAAATATTAACACATTTTAAAACAAATGATTTGTTCGTTAATGGTAAATTTGACTTAAGACAATTTTTTCCAAAGCTTGAAAGAGAAGCTGACAAACAAAACATTAAAATGTTACATATGTTTCCAAGGGAAGAGATTTTTAAAATTGTGATCACTAGTGAATTTAAAGATATGGGCAACAAATTATTAAAAAATTTAAAAGTAGCGCTACTCCCTCGGGTAACTTTAATTAATGGTACAGAGAAAACAGAAATTGAAAAAATTTTAAAAAAATATCATGATGACCCAATAACTGGTGGCCACAGTGGGACATCTAGAACGATTTCTAAAATAAGGCGATATTTTTATTGGAATCACATGACTAAAGATATTACAAAATATATAAAGTCATGTGAAAAATGTCAAAAACCAAAGTATACAAGCATTTAAAACCCGAAACTGTCCTGACACCAACCCCTGCAGCAGCCTTTGACATCGCAATAGTAGATACTATAGGTCCACTGCCTAAAACGGAAAATGGAAACGAGTATGCAGTTACAATAATATGTGATTTAACAAAATATTTAATCACAATACTCATACCAAATAAAACTGCAAGAACAGTAGCACA